ATGGATTCATGGAAGATCATTTAGTGATGATCACTTGTTGAGTATAGCTCCATTATATTTGGCTTTTGGATTGATGCAGATATACTCTTCATTAGCTTTAGCATTTTTTAAGTTTGGCTATGGATGTGTTGAGGAGAATATTGTCTTTAGCATTAAAATTAGTTTATGCAAAACTTATGATCATTGTTAAGGCAATACTTGACTATAGGCTTTTTCAAACTTTTGGTTCTTTGAGTTTTATGCTCATTGTTCCATTTGTTAGAAGTTGTTGGGGAAAGCATTTTTGGCTCTTTAGCTTCGATGTTGAAATTGGCTTTTGCATTTAGCAATCATTGATGACGATTGACTATCATCTAAGATAATTAATTATCCATGTCAAAAGGTTTTGCTTGATTGTTGTTGATATAGAATGATTCGTTATTTTTCAGGATGGTAGATTCCTTTTTTTGACAATGACTATGCATATCTCTTTTTGATGGGATGATTAATGATCTTTTATGATGGTTAATTATTCTCTTTGATGGCTTATGCTTTTTCGCAATACCACATGTTCTTTGTGGTTTTCTCTGGATTAGTCTCTTGGGTTTGAGACATTGGTAGGATGTTGCTGACACTTGTTTAAGCAACTCTGGTTCCTTGGTATTGTTGACCAGGATCTATTTAAATTGGCTAGTGCAATAATTGGCATGAATTAGTGTTTGTTAGTTTTACCATATTCATTCTGTTATGTTGATTGTTGCTCGAGTTAGTTCTGATAAATTAGGATGTTATTTCCTTTGGGAGATACATTTGCGAGCATGTTGCTTGCCAGTCAACGATACTTAGTGTTCTTTGAGTTTCTTTGATAAGTTATTGGGTATACTGTCTACAATTTTTGGTAGTTAAGTTTTCTCATTGAGTTTTTCTTGATGATACACTTGCTATTGAATTTTGTTGGATTGTGAATCCTGTGTTTAACAATTATGATGATCTTGGTGGTTCTTATATTATAATACTGGTTTATCAAATGATAACTTACTTAGAATACTTTTATGTTCTAATATAAGATTTATTCACTGATAATTAAGTCTTTAAGATATCACTGTCTTTGACTTTGATATTGTCCATTTATTAATCTTTGAGTTTGGGCCAGTATAGGTAGATTGGCTTCGGCACTTTGTGTGTATAGTGAAATCTCTAGTCATAGGGTAACTACTATCGACTAGTCATATAACCGGCCTCTCTGTCAATGTTCCTTATTTCATTAAAAGGGCGTGATCATGTAAACAACTTTAACTCCCTGTTTACAGTAGTCTATCTAAACCTTACTAATGGGTTTGGTTTCTTTGTTCAGGAGGGTTAGGGCCTCTGGCTTCTCTCTTTATGTTTCTGCAGGTAGGGGTGTATCACACTTTTGTAAGCTGGGTGACACCTATAGCAGCAAGGGTGGCTGACTCCATTGGTCATTTCCTTGTCGGCGATGGTCGGAAGGTGTCTAGGCTAGTAGCGCATCCGCGTTAGACAAAGAGGTTGCCTCCTAACTCATTTAAGTTGGTGCATTTCTCACATAGTGTGATCACCATGAACTTTTTTTGGAGTTGTTTCCTTAGCGGTGGTCTAGACTTGAGTATGCATCGATGAGGACGTCGATCTTCCCTAGGGGGGGAGAGTGTCGTGAATGTGACTTCGGGTATTGAAAGTTACTTATCAGTCAGTTTTTATAGACACTCTTTCCTTACTGCCACGACGGTAGAAGGTCAATATTGCTAGTTCCCTTTATCAGCCCCTTTTGTTCAAGTGTTAGTAAATTGAGCTTAGCATCTATACTTAGCCAAATGGACATAAAGTAGGAATTCCTATGTGTTTCTAGCTCAGCATACTCGGCCTGGCTCTTAATTCTCTTTTGCTTTGTCTTGCACTAACTTGACAAAAACTCTCGTATATTGAGATTGGTCCCTCAATATCGCTGGATGATAGTTTACCATGTCTGCTAAACACCCTCGCTATCATGCCTTTTGTGTTAGTCTCATTTCGGTCCTAAATGCTATTTATGGAAAGTGTCTAGATTCGCTCATTTAGCATATCTACGAAATGTAGAGTTTGTCCTAAACACAATGGTGTTCGTCTTGGGTTCCACACCATTATACTTTAGACATGTGGCATCTGTCATGTGGCACAATGAGGGTTTAGGTTTCGCTTCATGGTGTTATCCCATGGTAAATCACCATAGGATAAAGGTCAAAACCACATGCACTACACTAACAACCCTATAAGCAACCAAAAGAAATGATTTGGGAGATGATCAATAGGGTTTAAATATAGAGCGAAAAGGCACATGAACAAAAATGCACCCCCTTTTCAATTGGTTAAGGGTTTGGGGATAGTTAGAGTCAAGCATCCTTAGGTTTGAATAATACTAAGCTAGATGACCTCCTGGGAAGTTCAAATTCAAGAGCTTACATTTGGTATTAGAGGGGTCTTGGGTCTGACTCTATTGGTTGGCTTAGGGGAATTATACCACATATTGATTGACATTTGGCAGGTTCAATTTGCTCCTGCTGGGCTCGACCCGAAAGGTAGGGTGTCAAGAGAATGGGGCTCTCAAAAGAGCTGTGGCTTTCAACTTCTATTCACGAGGGCGTGAATTTGCAAAAAAACATGATAAATTGTAAACAATCAAAGGAAAAAATTTAAAAGACAATCCATGGGGTTCAATATAAAAGGAAAAGGCCCATAAACAAAAGTGCAATTGGTTAAGAGTCTTATGATAGTTGGGGTTAAGTGTCTTTGGGTTTAAATAATACTAAGATGGGTGACCTCCCAAGAAGTCCAAATTTATGAGCTTACAAACCCTTACTGAGCTTAGGGGAACCAACATCTTTATTTTTGCACTGAATCTACCAATCTACCAAGGGTCTTGGGATAGTTGGGGTTAAGCGTCTTTGGGTTTGAATAATATTGAGTTGGGTGACCTCCCGGGAAGTTCAAATTCAAGAGCTTACAAACCCCTATTGAGCTTAAAAGAACCAACACCTTTATTTCCGCACTAAATCTACCAATCTACCAAGGGTCTTAGGATAGTTGGGGTTAAGCACCCCGGGAAATCCAAATTCAAGAGCTTACAAACCCCTATTGAGCTTAGGGGAACCAACATTTTTATTTCTACACTGAATCTACTAATCTACTAAGGGTCTTGGGATAGTTGGGGTTAAATCTACTAATCTACCAAGGGTCTTGAGATAGTTAGGGTTAAATGTCCTTGGGTTTGAATAATATTGAGTTGGGTGACTTCCCGAAAAGTCTAAATTCAAGAGCTTATAAACCCCTACTGAGCTTAGAGGAATCAACACCTTTATTTTCACACTGAATTTACTAATCTACCAAGGGTCTTAGGATAATTGAGGTTAAGTGTTCTTGTGTTTGAATAATATTGAGTTGGGTGATCTCCCGAGAAGTTTAAATTCAAGAGTTTACAAACCCCTATTGAGCTTAGGGGAACCAACACCTTTATTTCCGCACTAAATCTACTAATATACCAATCCTTTATTCAACACTTTTATTTCCGCACTAAATCTACTAATATACCAATCCTTTATTCAACACCTTTATTTCCGCACTAAATCTACTAATATACCAATCCTTTATTCAACACCTTTATTTCCGCACTAAATCTACTAATATACCAATCCTTTATTTCCGCATTGAATCTACTAAATTCAGGAGCTTACAAACCTCTATTGAGCTTAGGGGAACCAACACCTTTATTCCACATTAAATCTACCAATCTACCAATCTTTTATTTCCGCACTGAATCTACCAATTTACCAATTTTTCTATTGTGTAGATTAGCTCTTTATTTCCACACTGAATCTACCAATCTACCAATCCTTTATTTCCGCACTGAATCTACCAATTTACCAATTTTTCCATTGTGTAGATTACCTATTCCATGTGAGAAAATAAAGGATATAGTGGATACGTATGCCCAATACGTACAATTTCAAATTTAGAGGTAAGAATATATCTTGCTCAAAGGTATATTATATTTTTAAGTAGCTACTAATCAATAGGAATCGAACCCATACCATTTACTCTAATACCACATATAGTACACCCTATTTCTCTCCTCTTAAACCAACTGAAAAAAAAAGCAATTGCTTAATGAAAGAGTCTTTAGTGAATATTTTATCCCTATTTATCCTCAAAAGTTTTAAGGATCTACAATGACAGTATATTTAAATCTCATCCCATGATCACATATGCTACAACTTACAAATCCATCGATGCCTCCTCTTGATGTTCCTCTAGCCCGGCCCATCTACAAAAGAACTCTAATAGTCTTCCATTATTTCGAGAGGAGGAGATGATGTGAGGTCTAAGTATACAGCTATAATACTATATATTAATATTAATGTAGTGGGATTTTGGTAGTAATTAGATTGTTTTCAATCTGGACCATTTGCTTTTGTATATAAGCTATGGTTTTTGGGCTAATTAATATACACATTTTTTGTATTCCCTTTTTTTATTCCATTCATAGCATCAATTATCAATTATATATAATAATTTTAATTCAAAAAGTACAAAATAAAAATCTTATAGAAATTCTTCAAATATAACTGCCATTCAGGAAACTTTTAGTTCATGGGACTGTGACTGATCCTCTTAAATCATATATTCGTTATATGATAGAAGCTTGTTAGATAGAAATAACACATCAATATTTAAATGATTTTAGAAATATATATACAAAATTTACAAGTGACCACAAAATTTTCAGTCATATAATGGTAAGAAAAAGGTGAATCATGTAAATGTAATTTATAAATGGTAAGAAAACACCAAATCAATCTTAGTGAATTATGTAAAAACTTACATTAATATAATAACTATTCCGAGTTGGCAATAGAATATGCCAAGCGGCAGTTCCTCCATGTACTCATGTGTAGGCGGAGATTGACATGAAAACGTGACTTTGTACAGTGGTGGAAAATCTCTCCACTGCTTAGCATAAAGCTTTAATGCATGGACTTGGGAAAGAGGGACTGCTCACACCTTCAAGAAGAGGAGTACTTCATATGGAGAGGCCCTTTGCAAGATTTCTTGTTGTTTGTTGTTTGATCGTTGCTTTGTGGGTATCATGGAGTGTCATAAACGATGGAGCCGTCATACAGCGCATGATACTCTTTAGCAGCCGTCCAGTTCTTCGCGTTTTCCCGCCCGCGAATTTCAAGCTTCCTCAAGGTCATCCCTGCAGATCTTTTCCAAATCCCTCTCCCCCCCCCTGCTGGCTTTGCAATTGCCCGGTATGCTACGTTCGAGTGGATCAGGCGCTGAAAGCGCTGCCCCCACAAGGGATCTTCCCAGAACTCGTTCTCTCCACGCTCACCTATCTCCACCGCGCAGGCTCGACAAACTCCACACCATTTGGCGGGAATTTCAGCCTGGAAGAGCGCGAGAGGTCCTTCAAGATCAGAGAATCGATGGCGATTCCGTGTGGATTCGCCAGGGCCGGAATGGAGCCAGGGAGAGAGGGCTCCGGATTCGAGATCCAGGAGGAGGCCGACATGGATTATCTCCGAGAATGCAGGGGAATCGTGGTCGCATCCGCGATCTTCGGCAACTATGACGTGCTCAAGCCTCCCGCGAACCTGAGCAGCACCAGCGCCAGGACGGTTTGCTTCGCAATGTTCGTCGACGACGAGACGCTGGAATCTCTCCAGATGGAAGGAACTCCAGCCGGGGCGTGGAGAATCATCCTCGTACGAAGCGACGCATACGAGGGAGACAACCGATCCAAGGGCGAGATTCCAAAGATGCTACTGCACAGGCTCGTCCCCAACGCGCGCTTCTCCATCTGGATCGACGCCAAGCTCCAGATGGTGGCGGATCCCATCCAGATCCTGGACAGGTTCCTGTGGAGGAGCGGCGACACCATGGCCATCTCCAACCATTTCGAGCGCGCGGACGCTTTCGAGGAGGCCGAGGCAACGATCCGGTACCGGAGGTACGAGAGCAAGGCCAAGATGGACGCGCAGATGGAGTTCTACCGTACGCACGATGGGCTCCTTCCGTATGACCGCGCCGCCAGGATGCCGCTGGTGAGCGATGTCCCGGACAGCTGCGCGGTGCTGAGGGAGCACACGCCGCTCACCAATCTCTTCTCGTGCCTGTGGTTCAACGAGCTCGACAGATTCACGCCGCGCGATCAGGTGAGCTTCGCGGTGGTGCGTGACAAGATCATCGCGCAGGTTCCATGGCGGATCAACATGTTTGAGGACTGCGAGAGGAGAAACTTTGTGTGGGAGACGCCGCACAAGTGACGTGAGAAGATCACGCACAAAGTTTGTCAATCCACATTCTCAACAGAAAAAAATGGCAGTGACTTTGAGCAGCGTTTTTCTTGCTTGATTGCTAGAGCTTGCTGGATGGTTTCTCCTCTGGCGTTTGGACGCTCGATCGATTTATATGAGCGAGTGTTGGGCAGCCAGCAATTACCATGGTGGTTCTCAGCTCGTCCTTGAGCATGTCTAGCACTTTCTTCACGCCTTGCTCGCCATCGATGGCCAGACCGAACAGGACGGGCCTCCCAACCTGAGATAAATCACCACACCATGTCACAATTGCTCCTGAAAGCCACAAGAACACATGAAAACTTACGAAAACTCCACTAGCACCGAGAGCGAGCGCTTTGAAAACATCCGTGCCTCGTCTGATGCCTCCATCGACGAAGACAGGACACCGACCAGCGGCTGCTGCCACCACCTGTCACTCCAAAAAAGTCTGTCAAGAGCAACCAAATTACGTAACAACTGTTTCTAGTGATTGCCACCTCTTCAAGCACAGAGATCGTTGCTGGGACGTGATCTAGCTGCCTGCCACCGTGGTTGGAAACAATGATCCCGTCGACACAGATGTCGATAGCCTTCAGAGCTGAAAACAAACAACACAAAGAAGATCAGTGAAACTCATCGTGAACACAGAAAAGAGCCCGAGGCAAACTCAGTACCGTCTTCTTTGGTGAGTATCCCCTTGAGCAAGAATGGGAGTTTCGTTAGCTTCATGAAAGCTTGGACATCCTTCACAAAAATGTATCCATTACAATGTTAGATGGAAAACTGAATCCAATGAGTCACCTTCCAAGTGATGGATTTGTCTTTGTACTCGGATGCGACGGCGGCAAGAGAAGAGCCCGGTTCTGTTGGCTGCAAGAAGAAAACCAAAAGAAAAGGCTCGGAAATGCTGGAAAGTAAAGATATACCTGAGAATGTTGCTCGCCAATGTCGTCAATTAGCTTCATACTCACATCTGGTGGCAAAACTAGTCTGCTCCGACACTTAAAAATCACAAGCTGGCTTCTGTAACGCTTGTTTCGAGTTACCTGTTTCGTAAATCATCCTCTCTTCTTCCAAGAATTGGAGTATCAACGGTGAGAACAATGGCTTTGTAGCCAGCCTTCTCCGCTCGAGCAACGAGCTCCATAGCTCTAACCTTGTTGAATATCTGGAACACAGAAGCTTTTAGAAACAGTGTGAGTTTTAAATCCAGAGAAGACGTACATACAACTGAAAGAATCGAATTCCAGGACCTGTGTCCGCGATCTCCTCAATGGTGTGACTTGAAGATGTCGATACAACCTTAGCAAAAAGAAGAAGAAGAAGAAGAAATGAGAAAACCTTTGAAAGTTATCTGCCAAAAAAATCTTGGCTCGAAGCGTGAAGCGTGATCGATCTCTTCACTCACCATGACAGTATTTGCGGCAGCAGTAGCTCTTGCAGTAGCTAATTCTCCTGAAAGTAGTAATATAGTAAAAACGCAGCGTAATATGGTAAAAGCACCGCGTAAAAACCTCGATGAATTTACCCTCGGGATGCGCGAGCTTGTGCAATGCGGTCGGGGCGACCATGATCGGACAAGCAATCTCCAATCCGAGAACCGAGGTTGTGAGATCCGTGTGGCTGACATCCACAAGAACTTGCGGCCGGATCCTGGAGAAGCACGGGACTGATGAGAGCGCCAAGCCAATCCCCAAGAATCCCTCGTCGAAATCTTACCTGATCCTCGAGAAGGCGCTGCGATTCTCACGCAGCGTCCACTTGTCCTCGGCGCCGCCCGCGTAGAAATCGTAGTGCATCTTCGGCATCTTAACCCTAGCTAGATCTTCATACTCGTCCACATTCACAACGCGCGCCATCGCTGGGCGTGAGAGAGGAGGAACAATGCTCTCGAACAGCACGGAGGTAATATTCCTGGCATCTACCGGACATTAAAATATTCCCTGGGAGCGCGCTTTCTTCTAGAGGGTTTTGAGCTAGGGTTCTTCGATCGCTGGGCTTGGCGCTGCTTCTCGGCAGCAATGCGCTAGCCCCGGATCGGCTCTCCGGCGCATTGGATTCGCGATTTCGAGCACGATGTGAGTGTAATCCGCGGCATTGCTGGGGATTGTGGTCTGATTTGTGTGTTTTCTCCAGGGTTGAGCTAAACGGAGGTCGATACATCGGCAAGCATGGCCTGGAAGCACTGCACAGATATAAGTACAGCGGCGTGGACAAATCTTACATGGCCAAGTACGTGTTCCAGCCCTTCTGGTCGCGATTTGTCAACTTGTTCCCACTCTGGATGCCGTGAGTTTTTCTCGCTTTGTTAACCTTTCTAGAGAAGAGTTTTTTATTCTGTTGTCCTTCTTTTTTGCACAGACCGAACATGGTTCGTGTTTTTTGGTTGATTTTCTTTCGTGGACGATTTATATGTAATGTGGACAGATTACCTTGTCTGGATTTCTTCTCGTGGTGGCATCGGCGTTCTTGAGCTATGTAAGTTCTCCACGTTTTTGTTTGAAGTTTTTGCGTTTTTGTTTAGATCTCTAATGGTTGTGCGTGCTGTGTTAAGGTGTACTCTCCTCACATGGACTCTCCCAGTCCCAAATGGGTGCACTTCCTCCATGGGCTGCTTTTGTTTCTTTACCAGGTGAGATGTGAAAGAAAATTGAGTTTGCAACGAAAGGCTTTGCTTCTGCAGACGTTTGATGCGGTAGACGGTAAACAGGCGAGGCGAACCAATTCTTCCAGTCCTCTTGGAGAATTGTTTGACCATGGTATGCTGGAATTTATCTGTGCTGAAGTTTAATGACTAACACATTCTGCCAGGCTGCGATGCCCTCTCTTGTGCGGTATGCCAACCTTTTTTGTATTAACCTGTCGATTCATATTGTTTTTCCTAGTTCGAAACGATGGCTTTCGGTGCTTCTGTTATGAGTGGATCGCATACTCTCTGGTTCTGGGCCATAGCAACTGTTCCTTTTTACATGGCTACCTGGGAGCAGTACGTTTCTGCTTTCTCTATTTAACAGCCGGTTTAATCTGAGTTACAGCTACTTCACAAATACTTTGATTCTTCCTGAAGTCAATGGCCCCACTGAGGGTCTCATGTTGATCTATCTGATTCATTTTTTCACATCTCTTGTTGGTACGGGCCTTGCTATCTATGTCGTAAAATCTAATAGTATTTCTCATTTCAGGCCCTGTTTGGTGGCAGCACAACTTTAGAGAAGCCATACCGTTCCTGCGAGGTCTACCGCTACTTCCTGGTTAGTTGATTTTCTGGTTTCTTGTCTTGTGAAACTAATGAATTGATTTCATTCTTAGACATGCCGGTGAACGTTTTTATCATATGGTTAATGCTACCAGTTGCTGTTTTGCCAACCATTCTGTCTAAGTAAGCATTTATTTGTTTATGAACAATCTCACTCATTTCCATCGTCTGACCTTCGTAGCGTGGTCAATGTCTACAAAGTTGTTCACGCGCGTAAAGGAAGCATGCTGCGAGCTTTGGCCATGGTAAGTCTGCGCCCTGGTTGTTTTGTAAGTCTATTACTGACGTTGAGACTGTCCCTTTGCAGCTGGTGCCGTTCTTTGTGCTTCTTGGAAGCATTGTGATATGGTAAGCCAGTTTCGTTTTGTTTTTGTTTTTTCACTACTGACAAGCTTGTATTAGGGGCTGGCTGTCACCTACTGATGTGCTTCGCACCCAGCCACATCTCATGCTATTGGGTTCGGGTTTTGCGTTCGGGTACTTGGTGGTAAGCGATGCGCGAGCTTAATTCGTTGATCATCATTTTGTCTTTGTCTTCAAATTATGGCAGGGAAGGATGATCCTGTCGCATCTCTGTGATGAGCCCAAAGGACTAAAGACGGGCATGTGCCTGGTATGTATCTTGTGACTGCTTTCGGAGAAAATGATAACGTCTGCTGTTATTGTTGAGCAGTCGTTAGTTCTCCTGCCACTTGCCATCGCCAATGCGCTCTCATCTAAAGTCCTTGGAGGGTATGACGTTCATAAACTTGTTTTTTCTCTGGCCTGAGATTTCATTTTTGTCCAGGAAACCTTTATTCGACGAGTTCCTTTTGCTCCTTGTCTACTGTGCATACACAAGTGAGATGGCCTTTATCTCGCTCTGTTGATAGAACTTTTGTTGTTTTCTCTGCAGTGGCACTGTACATGCACTTTGCTGTTAGCGTCATACACGAGATCACGGGCTCGCTAGGCATCCACTGCTTCAGGTACGGGGTGCAGCTACTTCGTGAGCTTGTTTCTCTTTGCTTAGCGTGTGATGCGTGTGCGTGCGTCTTCTTTTCTCATCTTGGGACTCGTTTACGACTTAGTGCTCCACCTTGCAGAATTAAGCAAAAGAGATGAGAATGCGGAGGGGGAACTGACTCGTAGCATTTTGATTGAGCAGTATCACCTACGTGACACACCGAACCATGTGATGAGAAAGGGGGCAATTTTGTTGCGATGGCTTCTGGGAAAACTCGACAAATATCCCACGGGTTTTGCAAACGCTGATTATTTCTAATTTTGTTTTTTCTTCTTCTTTAATTGGAATGATGTTTTCTCTGGTTTTTATGTTCAGAGTGTGTTGTAATGACCGGACTGGTTGTTCAAAAGACAAAACTTGGACACGGGCGGCAAAGCGTAGTCCAAACTTCGTCTCGTGAAACGCAAGTATTTGGACCCCACGGTCCGGTACGTCTTTGTAAAATTCTTCTTTCTAATGTGCCAAGCAAAATCTTTATAGTTTTCTATAGGTTACTTCCCCTTTATAGTTCATGCTTGTGCCATTCCTTTTCCTTTTCCAAGGTCTAGTGATTTGGATCGGTCCCCCGCTCTGAATGACGACTCTAGCTTTTTTCATTCATTGTTGTCCTTGTTGTAATAGAGACGTGCGTAATCGTGGCTTAAAAGTACAGGTAACTGAACTTGAAGAAAATCTTGTCTGATACAATTGGATCGGGAAGCTTCATAGCCAGGAGCACTTGCGATACATCCCCGTGACTCAAGTTTGAACGGCGCTTGGTCAGGATGAATCTAGAAAACTTGACGGTGGAGACGTAAGACTATGACTGACGAGCGCTCGAGAGCAAATTTCTAGACGTAATGGGGGGACAGCGATGAGGGGTACATCTATTCAAAGTGGTCCAACGCATGCATGTCGCAGTGGCATCTCGCATGGAGTTTTGTTGAAAGTCTATTGACCGTCTAGAGCTGAGAATATCCCCAATACACGAATTTCCTCCATATTTATATGCTCAGTGTTTTCCTGTCGAGGCTGGAGAGGATGAGGCTGGGGAGACGAGTTGCAGTAATGGAGAAATTGCCGGGATTTCGATTTTCACCCACGGAGTACGAGCTCGTTGGATACTACTTGAGGAAAATGGCCGAGGAGAAGGAATTGGGAGTGGAACTCATTGCGGTTATCGACCTGGTCAAGCACGATCCATGGGAGTTGCCTGGTGAGCTCTCTTGCTTCCTTTTTTGCTCTTGCTTTTCCTTTTGTGCTCTTGCTTTTTTGCTCTTGCATTGTTGCTCTTGCTACTGCTGCTCCAGCGACGAATTCTAAACAATTGTCTCCCTCGGACTTCAGACCTGGCGATTTCTCTCGCACACATGGGAGACACCGAGTGGTATTTCTTCGTGCCAAGGCAGCACAAGTACCCGAATGGTTCCAGGCCAAACCGAGTGACGCCATCGGGCTACTGGAAGGCTACTGGAACTGACAAGCCAGTCATGGACAAGGAGAGCAACACCAGCATTGGATTGAGAAAAACCCTCGTGTTCTACAAAGGCAAGGCACCGAAAGGAGAGAAGACTCCATGGATCATGAGCGAATATAGGCTCCCCGACGAGCAAAACGCGCAGTTCAAGGTGCTGTAGTCGAGAGTTCCTCCATCTTGCTGATTGTTTCAATGGTATGTGTGTGCAGAACGAATTTACGCTTTGCAAGATCTATAGGAAAAGCGGGAGTGGAGCCTACAACAAGAACAGTCCTGGATGTTCTCTCGATGTTCAAAAAGGAGAGAGCAGTTCTGATTCGGATATGAGCCCCTCGGAGCTTCAGGTTGTGGCCGAGGACGATCAAAACGACGACAAGGGGACAATTCGAGCGGATGAGGAGGCAGACCACAAGGAGCAACTGGACAATATCATGTTTTCTGGCTTTGAGGACATAGAACATCTACCTTCCGCTGATCCAGCTCCAGGTTGGGGATACAGTCTTCCTGAAGCGTTTCAGTGGAATAACAGTCTAGATGGATAAAATGTTTGCTGTAATTGTTTGAGAATATTACATCTTCTGTAATTATATATTAATAAATCCCATTGGGTGCTGCTTGTCCTCTCTCTCTCTATATCTACCTTCCGCTGATCCAGCTCCAGGTTGGGGATACAGTCTTCCTGTAGAGTTTCAGTGGAATAACAGTCTAGATGGATGAAATGTTGTTTGAGAATATTTAAAGAATATTACATCTTTATATTAATAAATGCCATTGGGTGCTGCTTCTCTCTCTCTCTCTCTCTCTCTCTCTCGTCTGAGATTGCTCTTCTTGCGTTTTGAATGACAAGGTCGTCCCCAATCACTCTTGTCCCTGCCTGGAACCGGGACGCCTTCTTTCACTTTGACGATGTCCACCAGCTCCTCGTGGTCAGCCTTTGCTGCAGCGCGGAGGTTCAAAGACTTTTGAAGGAAATGCGAGGCTGGGCGATTGCACGCGACATGCTTGGTCTCATGTGAAAGCCATTCGGCCAGCCGAATGCTTTTTAGATAGACAAGATAATCACCAGCTTGTTTGCATAAACACAATGCCTGGAGTGTTTTGATACCTTGTGCAAAACACACTGTGGACCGTGGAAACGTCAACAAGACAAAAGAGTGGGTTCTCTTAAGCAGATTCGTAAGTATTGCGGCAATTTGAAAGAGAGCCAGTTTCGTCCTCGCTCTGTTCTGGGCATATGTTGTGAGCTTTGCAATTGCAATGCCAGTCAGCGTACACAATGCCAGTCAGCGTCCTGGAACAACATGGTCTCAGCAAATTTCCACGCCCATCTCCTTCACGTTGACCAGACAAAAGGCCACTGGCGTTTGACTTTGGCTGGCCCACGTATCAACGCTTTTGGGCCAGGCTACATCCACGAGAATCTGCTTTGGACGGGTCTCGTTTGCCGAGGGAAGGTCTTCACTTGCAAGACCACGATTTAGCCTGCATCTTCCATACGCCGCCTTGTTCCTTCCTCGTGGAATCGAAGTCCATCATTCGTTTGAGCTTTCAACAGCGTTATTTTGATTCTTTGACGGCACATATTTATAGATATATTAGACATATAAACTCCCATTTTTTTAGGTCAGGGATCACAGCAAAAAAGGAATGAAGCAAGTTCGCGAGAGGCTTTACATCAGCAACGCCGACGACGCGGGGATCTATCTATGCGGGATCATGCAAGGATTCACTCACGTCCTCTCACTGGCACCGGTGTGCCTCCACCCACAGTGTAACTTCATCGACACGGTGCCGCCGCATCGCCTTCGCAAGTTCCAGGCCGTGGAATCCAAGCTCGAGAAACTTTGCCCAGGTATGGTAGGCAAGCCGCCAGTGCGCAAGATAATCCCCTTGCTGGACAAGGAGGACCAGGACATACTCCCCGTGCTGCAAGAGTGTCTTGAGTTTATCGACGAGGGCATGGAGCAGGGCATGGTGCTCGTCCACTGCGTTGGCGGTCGGTCTCGCAGCGCATCCGTGGTGATTGCGTATTTGATGTGGAAGGAAGGGTGTAGCTTCGATGAGGCGCTCGAGAGCTTGCTCGCGTGTCGGAAGTGTGTTCGTCCCAACGATGGATTTATCACGCAGCTGCAAGAGTTTGAGTCTACGCTGAGGGGAGAAGGGGAGCTTGGTTCTAGGAAAGTTTCTAGGAGAGATTTAGAGAAAGAACTTACATGTAGGCTGTGTAACAAAACCTTTATGGGATAAATAAAAAGGTATGGTTAGAGCCTCTACTGGCTCCAACTTGGAACTTCTGATCTAGAGTACGACACTTCAAGCGATTCAATCGTGGAGCAGAGCGTTCAGGATCTTGTTCTTCACCATGTAAGCGTGTGGCGAGCTTTGAACGACGACAACGCTCTATAGGTTTGAGAAGCATCTATCGTCTTTGGGTGGCTACACCTTGCAGCACGTCACCACCGCTGCCAAATTGAAGATGGTTGTGGATGAATCTTAAGAGAACCCACTCTTTTGCCTTTTTGACGTTTCCACAGTCCACAGTGTGTTTTGCACAAGGTATCAAAACACTCCAGGCATTGTGTTTATCCACTATTGCATGCAAACAAGCTGGTGATTATCTTGTCAATCTAAAAACCATTCGGCTAACCAATCTAAAATTTGCCGAATGGTTTTGGTTGCCGAATGCCGAAAGGCTGACCACGAGGAGCTAGTGGACATCGTCAAATTGAAAGAAGGCGTCCCGGTTCCAAGAGTGATTGGGGGACGACCTTGTCATTCAAAACACGAGAAGAGAAATCTCACTCTCTCTCTCTCTCTCTCTCTCTCACACACACACACACACAGAGAAAGAGAGAGAGTGGATCCTTAAAAACCATTTGCCCTAAAATAAACCATGACATTTATTAATATAAAACTATGGAGGATATAATATTCTTTGAATATCCTCAAACAATTACAGCAAACATTTTATCCATCTAGACTGTTATTCCACTGAAACGCTTCAGGAAGACTGTATCCCCAACCTGGAGTTGGATCAGCGGAAGGTAGATGTTCTATGTCCTCAAAGCCAGAAAATTGTCCAGTTGCTCCTTGTGGTCTGCCTCCTCATCCGCTCGAATTGTCCCCTTGTCGTCGTTTTGATCGTCCTCGGCCACAACCTGAAGCTCCGAGGGGCTCATATCCGAATCAGAACTGCTCTCTCCTTTTTGAACATCGAGAGAACATCCAGGACTGTTCTTGTTGTAGGCTCCACTCCCGCTTTTCCTATAGATCTTGCAAAGCGTAAATTCGTTGAAGTTACACTGTGGGTGGAGGCACACCGGTGCCAGTGAGAGGACGTGAGTGAATCCTTGCATGATCCCGCATAGATAGATCCCCGCGTCGTCGGCGTTGCTGATGTAAAGCCTCTCGCGAACTTGCTTCATTCCTTTTTGGCTGTGATCCCTGACCTAAGAAAATGGGAGTTTATATTTCTAATCTATGTATAAATATGTGCCGTCAAAGAATCAAAATACGCTGTTGAAAGCTCAAACGAATGATGGACTTTGATTCCACGAGGAAGGAACAAGGCGGCGTATGGAAGATGCAGGCTAAATCCTGGTCTTGCAAGTGAAGATCTTGAGACCCGTCCAAAGCAGATTCTCGTGGATATAGCCTGGCCCAAAAGCGTTGATACGTGGGCCAGCCAAAGTCAAACGCCAGTGGCCTTTTGTCTGGTCAACGTGAAGGAGATGGAAATCTGCTTAGACCATGTTGTTCCAGGACGATGACTGGCATTGTGTGGAACAAGATTTGAGCTTTTGCAAGTCGCTGTGCATAAATCTTCATCAATTTGCGGTCAGGAAAGAGCTTTTGGATGGCGGAATTTCAATTGCAAAGCTCACAACATATGCCCAGAACAGAGCGGGCATCTTAGGACGAAACTGGCTCTCTTTCAAATTGCCGCAATACTGGTGAATACTGCTTCCTGCCATCGCTACAAGCCCAAGCTGGGATTGCCCGAGGTCGCACTAACGGCGGAAGACGGCTGTGTGTAGAATCACCCGAGTCTTTGCCCGCTTTGTCAGCCGAGGAACTGTGATCACCAGCCCAAACGAGTGTTTCAAGCATCTCCTCCTGCGACTTCTCTGTTACATGAGATTCAATGAGACACGCTTTGGTTTGATCACGACTTGGGAAGCGACGTGGTTCATTGTTGCCGATGCGAGCTACACGGCGGTGGGGGATCTCGGAGCCTGTTTCCCAGGAGCTCGAGGCCCTTGCTCCATCTCTGCTTCGTTCTCCAGCTCGCTGTGGACGAAGCGGAGCCATTGAAGATGATGCAGCATAAGGGAGGAGCCTGCCATTCCTTCTTCAAGAGTTTGGAGACGGCCGAGAGCATCGGGGAGCAATTCATGGAAACGGTGCGCTCGGACTTCGGCTGGGGGGTGGCCATGCACAGCGACGTGACGCAAAAGCTCCAGCTGTTACCGTGGAGTGTTACCGTGAGTCAACCCATATAGTGAGGGACTTGACTGAATGGCAGAGTCAACCCTTGGTATCTTTGTTTCAGCCACAGTAAGTGTTGGAGAGCATGACATAGGTGGTGTGGTGCCTGGGATCCATCCCAAACAACTCGTCGGCAGCTCGTCTCCCAAGCACCAAATCTCCATGGTTGCTACATCCCCCAAGCAAGCTCCTCCATGTCACGGCGCTGGCCGGATCTGGGAGCTTCTCGATCAGCGCCTCGGCCTCCCCGAGCTTCCCAGCCCGGCACAGCAGATCCACAATGCTGCCGTAGTGATCCGGCCCCGGATCAATCTCATACTCGCCCCGCATCAGCTGGAAGCACTCGTACGCCTTGTCTAGCAGCCCCGCGTGACTACACGCCGAGAGTATCACCGTGAGCGTCACCTTGTCCGGCGACCACCCTGCTTGTTCCATCCCTCTCACCAGTTCCACCGCCTGGAGCGCCTGTCCGTGCTGGGCACACGCCGTGATCATCGAGTTCCAGGTGATCAAGTCGCCGTGGTACGAGCCCATCGCGTGGAACATCGCTTGCGAGACTTCCCAGCTTCCACACCGCGAGTACATGGTGACCAGCGCGTTGAAGAGGCCTGTGTCAGATTCCAGCGAGAGGTTGAGCTCGGAAACGAGGCCGTGAAGCTTCTTGCCGTGCGAGAGGCTGGCGTGCGAGGCACAGGCCGAGAGCATGGTGAGCAGCGTCACTCTGTCCACTCTTATCCCTTCCAGTAGCATCCGGGCGAAGAGCCTGACGACCACGGCTTCGTTTTCCTGCTGCTCGTGTGGAGCCTCTGAAGGACGCTGTCTCTGTTGGATGCACGCCCCTAGCATCGAGTTCCAGGTGACCGTGTCTGAGTGCTGCATCCTCTCGAAGATCTCCCAGGCGGTGTCCACGTCTCCACTCTTGGCGTACATGTTTACCAGCAAAGTTCCCACTGTGGAGTCCAGATCAAGCAAGCACTCGGCAACCTGTTCGTGGATTCTGCGGCCTTCCACGGACGATCCAAGAGCAGCCACTGCGTTGAGCACCGAGACGAATACGCTCTTTCTCGGTCGCGTTCCCTCCTGCTGCATTCTCCGGTAGAAACTCAAAGCTTCCTCCGGTTTGCCCTGCTGCGTGTGCGCGTTGATGAGCGCGTTCCAGGTGAGAGCGTCCCGGAACTCGTCAGGCACGCTGCTGAAAATCTCCCTGGCAATTAGAAGCTCCCCACATTTGCCATACATGTTTACCAGAGCGGTGAAGACGTCGGTGGATTCGACCCCGGTCTCCCGGACCAAGTAGTGCACGAGCTTGCCTTGCTTGAGCGCTCCCAAGTTGGAGCAAGCGTTCAGTGCAGCTACAAAGACTCCATCCTCGGGAATCAAGCCGTGCGAATGCATAAGGTGGAATTCTCTCAGCACGTCCTGGTCGTGTCCCTGCTGGGAAGCATACGCTGCAACAATCGAGTTCCATGAAACTGAGTCCGGGACCAAAATCTCACCAAGCACGCTCTCAGCAACATCCAAATACCCGCACTTCCCAAACAAGCTCACCAATGCAGTCTTAACCAAATCATCTCCAAACAACCCACACTCAACCACGCAGTCGACGACAGTCTTACCAGCAGTCATCTCGGCCAGGCCCGCGCAAGCGTTGAGAGCAGCCAGAAAAGTCACCTTGTTGGCGCTGACGCCTTCCAGCTGCATGAGGCTGAAAAGCTCCACGGCCTGGACAAAGTTCCTGGTCTGCGTGTATGCTCCCATCAGCGAGTTCCAGGCAACCGGAGCCGCGTGCTTGTCACCCATCTCGTCGAAGAGCTGTCTTGCTCGGTCAACATCTCCGCACTTCCCGTACATGTTAAGAACCGAATTGCCGACGACAACATCGGATCCATATCCATACTTGTCCGTAGCTTCGTGGATCAGTCTGCCAACAGATAGATCTTCGGCAACAGTGCACGATGAGAGCATGCTGATGAAAGTGACTTCGTTGGGAACCACGCCACTGTTCTCCATGGCCCGGAAGATGTCCCAGATCTGACAAGCGTGTCCTGGAACGGCTGCATGAGCTGCAATGAGAGCACTCCAAGTGATCTCATTCCTGCTTTCCATGGAACCGAAGACAGCCTCGGCGTCAGCCACGCTGCCACAGACAGCGTACATGTTGATGAGAGCCGTCCCAACGACGATGTTCGAGGTAGACAGTCCAGCTTCGTCGACCAGCCCGTGGATCCATCTGCACTCCTCGAGCCTCTCGTCACAGCACGACTTGATCACAGAGATAAAGCTTACGATGTTTGCCATCTTGGAGTCCAGCAGCAGCAGCTTCCGAAAGAGGCCCAGTCCCTGCCTGGAATGCCCGTTCTGGGCATACGCTGTGATCATCGCATTGAACGACACCACATTCTTCTCTTCGATGCCATCGAAGGCCGCAGCTGCGTCGCGCACGCAGCCCAGTCGCCCATACAAGTTGATGAGATGGTTTCCCAGAGACTTGTTCCCTCTGAATCCCCGGCGAGTGATCTCCGCCTCGAGCTGCTTGGCCGCCCTCGGCGATCCCGACCTGCTGCAAGCTTGGATCAAGCCCGCAAAACCATACACATCTATTACCTTGTCCTTGTGTCTCTCTAGATGCTGGAGTAGAGCTCTTTCCAGCTCGCAGGAGTGAGGAGGAACTGCCCATCTCCTCAGTATCATCACTCATCTCTCTAGCGCCTAAACAAAAGAAGAGAGAGGATTGTCAAGTAAAAAAGCGTCTCAAGTTCGAAACGCTTACATGGATTTCTCTGTTCTATCAAGCCGAGGTCCAGAGCGAAGGATCAAACGAGTACCGTGGTTCCCACCTCCAGGCGCGACGATCGCGCGCTATCTTCGCTGGAATCCTGTTCGCCAGCATCTCATCCGTGACATGGAACTGCGATGGAGAGATTTAAGAAGAAAGGGTGTTTGATCGAGTGGGTGTTTGCTTGCACGCTAACCTTGGAAGCACATCCTCTCAAGCACGCCTTGTCGCATCTCTATTCAGCCAGAAAGAAGAAGATTGAGACATCAATGGATCGAAAATCTGGCTATTACCCGAGATTGGAACTTATTGCCGGGAGATCGGTCAAGCGCCGCGGTCCATTCAAACTTCTCGCCCTTGTAGATCGGATCCTTGTGACACAGCGCCCGGCAATTCTCGATACCTGCGATCGATCGAAACGAAACCAGATCAAGGCAAGAACAGCTGAAAATCTCAATATTCTTCCGAAATATCGTCCCGCGATGGGAATGCCAGCACTCACATTCATCCCAGCTCTCGCCGCCGCTACCGCACCCCTTCTTGCAGTACACTCGCCCTGCAAACAGAGCGTGAATCAAACACGCACACAAGAACTCCCTTGCATCTACATGGAATGTCTTTTATCGCGCCATAGCGCCGGAGGCAGGAGCTATTACACTGCGATGCTTCCTCGTCGCGACGATCGAACGCCCCCATCTCCAACTAAGAACCCTAAAACTTGGAATAAACTAGACTAGTCAAGAAGAATATCCTTATTTAATTTGAAAACAACCAAACGAGTCTTCTATACAGTAGTAGCACTGCCTTTCGCTCTCCCGGGCCTTCGATAGAAAAAAGAAAAGCACGGCCTTTCTTCGCTCGAGGAAATCAATCACCTGTAAGGATATGTTGGTGTGTGTACTCTATATACACAAAGCTGGCTTGGATTTTCACAAGGCCATCTCGGCTTGCAAGGCAGCAAGCTCGTCGTCCTCGGCGGTGCTTTGCTTTTGTGCTGGAGCTCGCTGGCGAGCTGGTTGCGCCGGACGCGCTGGAGCTGCTGGGAGCTGTGTCGCTGGAGCCGTGGTCGCTGGCTTGAGGAGTTCCTCCTCCAGTTCCAGGCCTTCCAGATCTTCCAGCTCTTGCTCCAATTCATCCTGGAAAGTTGTGTTGTTTAGATAACATGAGATGGATCGCATCTGGATTGAGCTCGCTTACCTCGTCGAAGTCTGTGCCTCCGAATGGCGAAGACAACGCTTCTTGGATTTGCTTCATGTTGTCTGTCTGTTCGTTGATCTCGTCCATGGTCTTGTCTACGTCATCAATGTTTCTGGAGAAGAAAACCACAGAAAGGATAAGAGAAAACTGGGAAGAGTACGAGAACTTACGTCTCTGCTTGTATTTGTTTCATGGCATGAGCCCCACTTCTCAGCGCGTCGACGGTTTCGGTAGTGGCTTTAGCACCCTCGAGCATAATCATCTGTGCAGACAAAGCACAAAAACCTTGGGAGTTTCGTCACGAAAAAAAACCATTTTGAAGATCCACTCTACCTGATCGTGAATGCGAAGCTGGAAGTTCCCAAGTTGCTCTACTTGAATCTCGTAGAGCTTCTTTCTCTTCAAGCACGCAATAGCACCTACACACAACATACTGTTGACAGAAGAAAAATTAAAGGACACAAACCCTTTTTGTTCTTCTCCCGAGTGAATCCTTTCGCCCTCTCCACCTCCGCCGCGATCTTCTTCTGCAGCACGCGCTCCTTCTTCTCGAGCATCTCGAGCGTCTGCCGGGATCGAATTGATGAGAAACCCCCCAAACCCGAGAGCCACAAAATTCTCTTACCTCGTTGAGCTTGTCGAGCGTCGCTACTGTGGTCGCAGCTGCCTCCTGCTTGGGCTTGCCGAAGAATCGGGTAAACATGATGGCGATGCCGGGCCACTAGCTCTGGCGATCTAATACGAATCTACAAACCTAAATGGCTCCTCTTTTTAGGGTTCTTCGAGCGCGTGGACACGTCACCAGAACAAAGGGCAAAATCTTAGCCCTATCTTTGGATTTCAAATTTTCAAAAAGCCCTAGTTTCTTCCCGAATTTGATCAGTCGATTCCAGCGGCTTTCATCAGATTGGAGAATTCCCTGAAATTGAGATGAGAATCTCTGTCCTCGTCGTACGCGCCAAAGATAGTTTGCACCAGCTGCGAGCGAAATCACAAGAAAATTGCTGGAGATCATCCAAATTTCTCATCAGTTACCTGGGTGATCTGGGGCTGGAGAAGCTGATCGTTTGCTAGAAGCATGGCATCCGCAACTTCATACTTGGAGAGCTTGCCATCCGCGTCTTTGTCGTAAAACTTGAAAAGAACTGCCAAGAACACACCATCAATATGCGAAGAGATTTGGGAGAAATTCACTGACCATCAAGCCGGGAAGAGCCCATGACACCCGCATTCATCGTCCTGTTTGTCATCACGGCGTCGCAAATCTCCCTGAAGCTGATCTTGCCGCTCTTGTCCTGGTCCACCACGACAAATAGCCTCTCGATGCATTGATTCCCTGCAAGAATCGACCAGGATTGGATCGAGGGGAGGGGGAAAATCGAGACCCAAGAGTACCTGGGCCAAACAATGCCAAGAATTTGTCTCGCGTGATCTCGGCGGCCTCCTTGTCCATGGCGCCCGAGTATCGGCATCTCGCGCGCCTCCTCTCCGTGAACGTCACTAGAAATCCCCTAGCAAGAAAGAAATTGAGCTCACTCGCGCCTCGAATCGATCTGGAGGGGTTTCGTTACTTCTGGGCCCGCTCGCGAAGCAGCTGATGTTTCCCATCGATCCCTCGGCCACGGCATTTTCGAAAACATTAGGGCTAGATTTTCGCGGGAACATTCAGCCGGCGCGCCCGCGCCACGTCATTCCAACCGTCGCCACGTTTGCGAGGAATTCTATCACTTTTAATCTTAGCTTTTTTGCCATTGATATCTCTATATCAATAGAGTGTGTCAGTCAAGGAGAACAAGCCCCGATGATAAAAGTTCTCTAGGCAGTCGTCAAACATGTCCTCCACCGATCTAAACTTGAGCCCAAGTTTCTCGAGCTTGGATGTGTCTAGCGTGTAGTATTTCGATTTGTATGACTCTGGAAACCTGGAGGACGAGGCGAAAACTCAAACTTAAGATCGAGATTCGAGTGATCAAAGCACTTACTTGGTGGGGACTTTGAACTGCGGGTACCTCATCGCGAGGAGCTCGCCGAGCTTGTCGTTGTCCATCACTGTGGAGGAACATATGTAGCGGCCTCGAGCTCCAGGAGCCTCCATCACGAGGATGTGAGCGAGAGCAACGTCTTCGACGTGGACGTACCCCATCCTTGGGTAGATCGAGAACTTCTTAGCGTCGCCTGGATCAAAGAGAAGATCTGATGTCATAGACGGAAAAGAAAATGAAAATGAAACAAAGCGTGCCTTTGAGTAAGCCAAGCACGTCCAGAGCGGTGCTGCTTAAGTTCTTGGGGAGCACCGGACCGACTACGAAGCTTGGAAGCACCGTGACAAGATCGAGGTTGTTTTTCTCGGCGAATTCCCACGCTCTTCTCTCGGCAACGGTCTTCGCCAGGTAGTACCACATCTGTGAAACATGAAAAGGTCTAGCAGCAAGATAAAACTTTGAGCCACAGACCTTGTATTTCCTGCAAAAGTCTTCCGAACTCCAAGAGGTATCGTCAAGGACTGAGTTGAACGGCATCTCAGGCATGAAACGAATCGCCGACGTCGAAGAAGTCAGCACAACACGCCGGACTGAAGGAGCTTTCGCACACGACTTTAAGACGTTCAGTGTGCCATTCACTGCCGGCGCAATCATCTCCAGCTGGGAGAAAACAAAAAGCATGAATAAACTCGTGTGAAGACGGAGAGCTGATGCACTACCTCTGGATCGACAGTGAAAGCAGTAACTGGCGAAGCTGTATGGAAAACTCCTCGGCAGCCTCTCACAACGTCATCGAAGCTACCCTCGGTTAGCAAGTCGGCTTCTCGCAGCTCCAGCCTTTCCGACGCTCCAGGAAGACGCAGCAAGTGAGACACCTTGTCAGCATTTCCTGTGATCATGATATCAGGCGATAGTCTTCCAGGAAGCAAAAGAAAAAGTACATACCGGGATCTCGAACAGTGGCTCGAACATAGTATCCTCGCTCCAGCAGACACTTGACGAGGCACGAAGCCAAGAAACCATTCGCTCCAGTAACACAGACAAGCTCCCCTGGAGAGCTCTGTGCTGCCTCACCCATCCTCCTCCTCCCGAAAAATCAGTTGAAAAAATTCCTCACTTTATACCGCTTTTCCTCCGTTCCTCAAAATTAAAGTAGCACTGTCCGTTCGTCACAGTCTTTCTGCCGCACCAAATAAATCGGAGGCCACATTCTCACCTCATGTTACCAGGACGACAAGAAATCTTTAACTTCCTCGCATACACTAGTCCAGGCTGGGGTCATCGTGAACTTCCGTGCACCAGACCCTCTTCTTCCTTTTATAGTACCGATTAACTTTTCTAAGCAGCTGTTTAACTTTCCTGCGCGGTCCTCTTCCAAACCATCTCCTCTTGACCGCATCATCTTCCCATCTTAACCATTGCAAGTGTGGCTTTCCAAAGACTTTCCTCTCAAACCGGTCCTCCTCGAACTGTTTCCTTATGGGCTTGAGCTGTAGTATAAGTTCCCGGATCTCGTCGTTTGGCTCGAATCCCAGCATAACCATTCTCTTGATCAAGCCATGAGCAGGTTCTTTGGCCACCACGTAAGTCTTGAACAAGAGTGTAAACATCCGAATATCCCTGTGCTTGCAAGCCTTGCAGTGCTTAAACATCGCCAGAGCACTGGTAACATCACCCCTCTCCGCATAAATGCTCATAACTTCCAGCATGGTTTCATACCACAGCTTGGTAGACCTGTACCGGACGAGGCTTTGGCCTTCTTCGTACGCCTCGATGGCCCAGTCCTTCTCGTTTCGCTTGATATAACCCTTGATAAAGTAGTGGTAGAGCTCAGGGACCGGTCGAGCTTTGTATTTTGCCGGATAGTCATAGAGTACTTCGGTCGCCTTGTCCATGAGCCCGTTCTTGGTATAAGCTCCAGCCATGACGATAAACTGCCTGTACTCCTTACGTACTCCACGACACTTTCTTAGTTCCTCAAAGATCTCTTCAGCTCTTCCAATGTTTCCGGCGCTTCCAAGAGCCTCGATCATGAAAAGATGGTTGTGCACCGCTACGAGAGGCCTGCTGTTGAGTATTCCCCACACTCTTTCGATCCCCTCCATGTCTTTCAAAAGGCCGTAGAGGAGGAGAATTTTGTTGTACACCTTGCGTTGCTTCTTGAAGCGGCCATTTCTAATTCCTGCCTCCGCTGCTCCGAGTGCTGCGTGAGCCTTCTCGGGGAAACCAGCTTGAATGTACGCCGAGGCAATAAAGATATAAGTCCATGCGTTGGACCTTCCCATGAGCTCTAGCTCCTCGACAATCTCCTCCATCCCAGAAAGATCGCCATGCCGACGTTTGATCCACAGGTGAGTGTTGAGGAAATGCGGATGAAAGTGAAGACCGAGCGACCTTGCTTCTACCACCAACGCTGGGATTCTACGCTCGAGCCCCAGATAATGGAAGAGCAGCGTCATCTGTTCCAACGAGAATGCAGAGACGAGGCCCAGCTCTCTGATCTTGTCCATGACTACCACAGCCTTCTCGAGCATCCTGTTCCTCACATACCCGGCCAGTATATAGTTGTAAGCTTCCTCGGTCTTCTTGTCGTCAGGAAGCCTGTTAAACGCCATCTCGGCTAGATACATATCGACGTGCGCGTAGTAATCCACTTGGAGGACATAGTCTCGATCATCGATCTCGAAAGCTTTCTGGAAGAGCAGCCAATTTCCAACCTTTACATTCGAAACAAAAGAAAAAAAACTCCTCCTTAGCTCTTGCAAAGAAAAACAAAACGAGAAGAACTTACATCTAGAGCCGTCTTGTATTTTTGCCGCTTGGTCAGCTTGCGGATGATCGACAAAACCATGGGTTTGGAATCAATCTCTCCCATATCCACGAGCCAGTTAATGTAGGAAGCAACTCTATGCCCAGGAACGTCACGCACCTTGTCCCAAACGAGCTCCAGCTTATCCTGATATTCCATATTCCTCCGATCCAGCTGAGGCAACACAATGCTCCTCTCCTCTGGCCGCCACAAGAGATCGATTTCCTGCCTGGAACCCTGAGGATCATCCGTCCCACCAGCGCTCCCGGGATTCCCAGCAGCCGTGCCGCAGCGCCGCCGCAGCGCCATCGCTCCAGCGCTCGAGGAAATCGCGACGATCCCCCGCATTCCCGCCAGGCGCATCGCTCACCGCCATACAAGCGCGTCGAAGAACCCTAAACCCTTGGAATCTAACGCCAGCCACTTGCCGGCCGCCACGTCGCAGGGTAGAATATAATATATGTGATACCCGTCTTCTAGGGTTTTCCAGTTCGTGCCCCTTCGTTGTTTGTGCGAAGCGAAGCGCCTTAGATTCAATCGCGAGCGGCGGCAAGAACAACAGTAGATCAAGTTCATGTCTGAGGCTGACATCCAGATTCCTGGCGCCTACGGTAAGGATCTGAGGATCGAGGAAGAAATCCCCGACCCCCAATTCTCTTCGCCCCGCCCAATTAGGTTGATTCTCCCCATCTTTCTCACGGATTTGTCTGCCAGATCCCTTTGCCGAAGCGAATGCTGAGGAATCCGGTGGTGTTGGATCCGCGGAATACGTCCATGTGAGAGTCCAGCAGCGAAATGGCCGCAAGAGCTTGACCACCGTCCAAGGCCTGCGCAAGGAGTTTAATTACAACAAGATCCTCAAGGACTTCAAAAAGGTAAGAGAGATCCATCGCCCTCTTTCCCCAGGCTAGAGCGAATTCCCCTCTTTTCTCGATCGAATTGGCTCGAATTGGCTCTAAATCTCGTCGTGGGCGACGATTGTTTGGCAGGAATTCTGCTGCAACGGCACCGTGGTGCAAGATCCGGAGCTGGGTCAGGTGATTCAGCTACAGGGCGATCAGCGCAAGAATGTGTCGCAGTTCCTCGTCCAAGCCGGAGTGGTCAAGAAGGATCTAATCAAGATACACGGTTTCTAAGTGGTGGTGGGGGTATGTAGCTATAGCTGAGTGGAGAGCAAACAGGGACACGGAAAAATCACAAAAAAAAAAAAGAGAGATTGGGGGGCTCTACTCTATATGGTGTTGGTTTGTATATGTGAAAGCTATGTGAGCAATCACCAGAGACTTTGCTGATATAATCCAATGCACTGTCCATTCTGTGTATTCTATGGTGATCCCCACTTGGAAAAAGTGAACGACCTCTTCTCTTTTTACTACTTTCTTTCTTCCATCGCTTTGATCGATTTGATCCTGTGTTATAAGTGAAGGAATTTTGCTCGCTGGGGATTCAGGTACATGAGCTCCTGGAGGTCTTTCGGCAGGAACTCGAAAATGGCTTTTAGATCGCCGGTAATCTTCTCAAACGCATTAGTCTTGTTAAAGTCGATGCCGCTCTCTCTGGAAACCTGCGTAGAAACAATTCAAGGATGGTTGATCCAAAATCAATCGTGCTGCGACTGTTTCTGACCTCGATTTCTTCCGCGAGGTGTCTCTCCACAGCGTTGAACGAATCGACGACTTCCACCTCCGTCATCTTCCGGAGGAACACGCGAACGTCCGCTTTGTTGCAGGCGTCTCGCCACAGACGGTGTTGCTCTTGCTCGGCAACAGCTCGTCTCCTCTGGAACCAAGGCATGAAGTTCGGTCCTTCCAAGAATTGCCTGCCAAAAGCACGCACGAATCTCTTAGAGAAACCATGGAGAAAAACTACAACAGGCAAGCTAACCTGTAGAGATTGAGCCAGTGTGTGTTCGACCGCTTGGACAAGAACTTCCCGGGACCTCTTCCGGCCAAAGCTTCCAGGAACGTCAACGCATCAAACGGTGGAAGTGGCGGCGGCCCCAAGAACGGCGAGATTCCCTCCTGGGGAGTGCTCGCTCGCAAGTAAGGACCGAATGGTGCCAGGAAGTTTGTGGTGAGCTCCAGGAAATGCCGCCTCAAGGCGTCATTGTTGACGACCGAGGTCGATTCTTCGATGCAAAGTGACGGCTCTGCGTTCACCAGCCTGTTTAGAACCTGGACATCTCCCTTGGTCGCGGGGCTGTGCGTCGTCCACAGCGCTTCCCTGTGCTCTCCCATCAGACACAGCGGTCCTTCTTTCCTGGCGAGCAAGTTCGCTGGATAGAGCCGCCTCACGAGCTGTATCTGCTTTTGGAGGCGACCCTGCGACGTTGCTTTGCCTGCCACCTTCTTCCTGTCCAAGCTCCCGCAAGCTCCCACCGAGAGGACGTGAGGAAACATCTTGAGCGCCTTGAGGAAGAAAACGTTGGTGACGCCGAGGATCATCGGAGGTATCCTGTCCTCCTCCGTGCATGAGTTGAGCGACGCGAAGCCCGGATCGTGGATCGTGAAGTACGGCCGAAAGTCGACGCTGCATGGCAGAGGCGCGATCAAGCTGATCAACCCCGCAACAGCCTCGCAGCACTGAGAAGGCGTGGGAGAGATCACCAGCAGCGGCTCTCCTATCAACAGCAGCTCCCAGAGCGTCCAGAGATGCCCCAAGAGCCCCTTAAAAACTCCGTAGAGGTTCACGTCGTGGAAGATACTCTGAGGAACCGACCTGTTCGACGGCGACACGGGAGCCATGGCGCTCGTAAACCCGTCCCTGGAAGCTCCAGGCCCCGGCGGAAGCGTGTGAAGCGGTGGAAGATGTGACTTGATCACAACTTTCCCGAGCATGAGTTCCATCATCGTCCCAAACCTCGGCCGCGGCCAGCGAGACATGTGTAGCGCGGCCTGCTCGAGCGCCGCCACACCGTTCTCAAAGTAGAGCGGCCCCAGGAGCTCCACCAGCGGCTTGAAGACGCAGTAAAGCGGCAGCTCGGACAGAACCAGCACCGACTTTTGCTCGCCACCTCGCTTGAGCTTTGCGTCGTATCTCTGCCTGTTGAAGACGAAGCCGTAGAGATACTTCTGCCCACCTTTGCCGAGACCATTGATCGCCGTCCCATTCACGCCGACGCTCTTCTCGTTGCTCTTCTTCTTGAGAACCTCCGAGTCGATCGAAAGTCTAGCGCCATCCTGATCCTCGGCCTTGAAAGGTAGCGTGGAAGTGGATCTTGTCAAGCTGCTGCGCCTAGAGATGGAGTTCTCGAGTGGCAACCCACGTCGTTGCGTCCGAAAGAAGAAGACTGTGTCGTGCACTCCAAAATCTTTGCTTGCTCGAGAGTTGGCCATGGAGTCTGGAAAGGAGCTGAAGGCCACGTCGAGCTCTTCCTCCTGGCTCAAAGCCCCGGCCGGGTAGCATTCCTCCACAACCTGTCCCTGTTCTAAATCGAACCTGATGGTGCAAAATCCCACCAGCCAGTGCTCCAGCGATGGCGCCGCCGCCGCGTCGCCGCCGGAATCGTGCTCCAGCTTGCGAGCTGGAAAGGAGGAGCTGCGATCCATCGCCGCCGGAGTATCATCGACGCGAGCTCCAATGCCGAGCGGAAATGCGTTGTCCGAGAGCCCTAATCGCGTGGAGGAGCTGCATTGGGGCCTCGAAATGGAGGATCCCTAGCGAGGAAGGGGATAAGAACCCTGGCAGCGATGGATTTCCAGCTCACCTCGATGGAATGCGCGCTGCCGCGGCGGCGATTGATCGATGGCCCAGTGGACGAGAAAATCTTTTAATCTTCGCGCTGGCGCCTCAAAAGAGAATGCTAGACACTGTGGCTCGTCGCGATCCTGTTGCCGCGTCGTTATCGAGCGAGCTGTAGCAATAAACTAAAGAAGCTTTCTAGCGGACATCTGGGCCGTCCATCGAAGAGGAGCATTCCATAATGGAATGTGGAGAATCGCAACCGTCGAAATCGCCAGCATTGATTTCATTGACTTTCTGTTGACGTTTTATTGATTTTCATTGACTTTTCGACTGACCAATGATACCTTAGCAAAAACATTACCTAACTGTCCAGAACACGATGCAATCGAGATCAATTTGGTTGATGATTTCTGTCTCTTCTTCCTGCTTCCACCAATCTACTAGTGTTTTTTGAACACTCTTCTATGCATGCTGACTGAAAGAGATTTGCGAGATGATGCACACAATCATCTGGTGGCAGCGGAAAGTCGTTCCAAACTTCACCTGGAATTGGCATTGCGGACCAGGTTTCCTGAAGAGTGAATGTCATAAGCCTGCAATTTGCTACCCCGAAAGATGAGCTCCCCAGCAAGATTTCCTGTCAGTCAGCTGCTGCTAGTTGGAGACACCCAGACTTGGCGGCTCGAGTTCCGAGTATAAACGGTGTACAGACTCGCAGAGTGAACTGGTGCTCAAGTTGGAAACCCGTGCGACCTGGCTAATCGGGCACGTCGTCGTTTATGTTACCTCCATGAATGCCACACACGAGGCTGCCGGAGCATGAGGCAATTACAATGTAACTCCGCGGCAATAAATCCTACCAGATGCTCCTCTGGATACCATGCCAGGAGTGCAACTCCAGTTGAGCATGGAAATACATTTTCCATCGTTTAAAGTTTGAAGAGCTACTGTTTCACTTTAATGCTTCAGGAAATTAACATTTAGAAACTTTTAGTCCCCGTTTCACAAACAAAATTTCGCTAACGTTTTTTTTTGTTTTTTTTTAATAAATTGCAAGTTGTTGAGGCCGTGAATAGCTTTGGTGTTGATCATACTGTAACTCAGCCATAGCATTCATAAGCTGTGATTGTCCTGGAAATAGATGTGCACCAATCTTTGCTAGTTCGTCTGCAACTTGATTTCCAGCAATGTCATAGTGCCCCTTCACCTTACAAAAATGAATTGGAACAAACGATGTTCTTGCAACCCAAACAATCCTTTGAATAATGTCTACATTTGGGTGGTGACTCAGGGCTATTGGGTCCTGCACATACATCTCCAGCAGTGTCAAGGAATCATAACTGTCTGTGTATACAAAGATTGGCTCCCACAATCCCCAGTGCCATTCCATCTCCAAACAGATTTCGAGGGCTCGCAACAAACCCAATAGCTCAAACGTGATGGCGGAGCTTGTGTATAAATTGTCGTTTACCCTTCTTCCGCAAGCGAGTCGCATGGAAACTCTTGGGATAAACACGCCATAACCTCCAAAAACTCCATGTTTGAACGATCCATCGGTGAATGCTTGGAATCCTTGATCACTCGCAACCATTTCTTGTGTATGCACGACCTTGTTCACCTCAAACATTTCACTTCCTTGCCTTTAATGCTCTTTTCTTGTTCTGGAAAGGATACCTAACCCAAAAGGCAATAGCATTTTATATAAGCTATGGAAATAATTTCTTATTTTGGAAATTCCAAGCGTTGCCCGCACTAAAACAACAGCTCCAGAAAGCCAGAAGAAAAAGCACTGTTAGAGGAGTATGGCAGCCGGGGGCGGCGACCTTATACAGCAGTCGCTCTGCCCATCGTTTTCCAACCGTCTCATCCAACGCATGCGCGCGCTTACCGATTTATATTCCAAGGCTTACATCAAGCAACGCTGTGCTTTCCTCCTGGAGAAAACAAGTAGTTTTTTGGCCTTCGCGAAAGCAGAAAAAGAGCTTGTCTCTCGTCTCTTACATTTAGCCTGCCTTGGATCCATCGCTCTTTATAGAGAAGGCCAAGCCCCAGCTGGGAAATGTTGGAGTGACTTGCGGGCTCTTCCATTCGGTGCTCTTTGCCGAGCAGGATGTTTTGTGTGGGGGAAGGGCGATGGTGGAAGGCTGGGCATAGACACGGAGTTTAACCAGTACAAGCCTTACGTGAATATCAGGATCAAGAGGGTCCAAATGGCGAGCGCTGGAGGATTGCACAACATCGCTCTCACGGAGGTTGGAAATGTGTATACATGGTACGTGAGATCATCCTTGGTTTTTAATTTCTTATTTTCTTGTTCTTGCGTTTGAGATGTGTTGATGCCAAAGCTTGCAGGGGGCACGGGGCTGTTGATGCTCTAGGCCATGGATCATACGAGCGAGAGCTCATTGTTGGAAGGCCCGTGGAAAGACAGGATAGTTCACGTTTCGGCTGGGGGATCGCACACTGCCGCAGTCACAGAAAGTGGCAAGCAAAGTTCTCTTTTTTCTTGAGGAAGTCTGATTGTTTTCTTCTTCTTCTTTCTTCTGTAAAGGCGAGCTTTACACATGGGGAAGAGACGAGGGTGAAGGAAGGCTCGGGCATGGAAATCCGGACATCATGGACGAAGGTGCATTGAGCAGGCCGACGAAGGTCCAAGCGCTAGACGTTCCCATCGCCTCGGTTTATTGCGGGGGATTTTTCACAATGGCTCTCACTAAGTCGGGTCAATTATGGTCTTGGGGAGGTATTTTTCTTTTCCTGATGAAAGCTGGGGAGAATAGTGATGATTCAAGTTCAGGGAATGCAAACCATGAGCTTGGCCATGGACTCTAGTGCAAGTAGCTTGTGGTGCATTCCATGCTGCTGCTCTCACTCGTAAGTTCTTGCCTTGGTTTTTTCTTGTTGGTACGTAACATTCTACTTGTTTCACTTAGAGGACGGGAAAGTGATTGCATGGGGATATGGTGGAAATGGCCAAGAAAAGAACCGGCTTCGACGTGAGCTAAGTAGTAGGCAGACCAATCCGAGACCTCCATTCTCAAGAGCAAATGGTTGAAGCAGCCATCTTGCTCCAAGCGGTTCTTCGTCGCAATCCGAGCTTGACAAAGTCGACGATCACGAGCGCAGCAGCAGCATCCTCATCACGATCCATTCGATTTGCTGCTCGCGAGCGAAGGGTCCACCGGCGGAGGGCTGGCATAACTCTGTCCACTTGAGCTTCCAGGAGCTTGACGGACTCTGAGCCCTGCAAGCCCAGCCCCTGCCTTCCATCCTTCAGGAGAAAGATCTCCGTCCCGAGCTTCCCTGGTCCGCTACACCCATACCACAGCGCGTGGAACAGGATCAGGAGATACTCCGGCTCGTTGGAGATGCTCGCCAGCACCGTCGGCTTCATCAGGTTCTCGATGCCGACTGGAATGCTGTCCAGTTGCCCGCGAACGGTCTGAGCGTCCTCGTCCGTGAAAGCAATGTGAACGTTGGAACCGGTTGCTGGGGCTCCAGCACATCGCCAAAATTGTGTGTTCCTTCGGACGTGGGACTGGCGGTCGGACTCTTTGGCTTGTGCGAAGGCTCGCTCAGGGGGAATGGAACACGGACTGGCGGTATAGGCCCATACAAGCCACTCGTCGAGAAGCTCATATGGCAGCGTCCACGTTATCTGTTGCTGCTTCCAGTGACTTCACTTTCAGCTGGCAAACCACCTGGATCTTCACACCCGATTCCTAAACCCCGGAGAAGTTCCTTCGAAGAATTGCGAGAGTATCCGCAGTCTTTGCATCCATCATACGCAGCACATTGTCCGAAGTTGGGTGATCCGAGCCGCCAGGAACTTCGTCGTCCCTTACTGCGACGAGGCTACTGCCTGCTTCTGGTCCTCTGCCATTACAGATGGGCTGGAAAATATCGTGCAGCACCAGAGACCACGAGCTTCGCACCAGCAGTGGAGTCTCTCGAGTGAGATGGATAAAGGACGAGACCTGTATGGATGCCTTCTTTCCCAGGTAGGCTCGAGGCGATGGCGATCCCAGAACGAAGACACATGCAGCAGCTGTGGCTTTTAATCTTCTGTCTGGCTATCTCCGTACGTAAGTATTTCCCGCAGACGATTTCCTGGGATTGATATCAGTATCCAGAGGTAGAACCTGAAACAAACTCCGAGAGAACTTTGAGCACTTCAAACAAGATTACCTTGCATTGTCTCGGACCTCGATGTCTGGAAAGTAGAGGCACTGATATCCAAAGAGCTCGTCAGCCGGCGAAAAACTCTCGAGCTCTGGTGATGCATGGAGCCAGATTCGCAGCGTTAATCCAGAGTGCTTGCCAACCTTGAACTTGAGATAAGTTTCGAGGGACTTGATGAGCGCGCTGGGAGGAATCTTGCCACTGTCTGCAATCCTTTTCAAGGCCGGGAGCTGCGAGTTCGAGGGAAGCACAGGGACCAGATCCTCACTGAAAGTTCTCAAGAGACGCTCCCCCAGCCTCACAGCTTAGAAACCTGTTCAGTAGAGCGAGGATTCTATCGACGAGGTTATCCTGCAGAGACCTGAGCAGCAATTTCCAACACCGCCACCATATCCGGAAACCGGAAGAGCAGCCTCGTCTCCAAATTGTATGTTTTGATTTGGCAACCTGTGATGAAGAAGGGAAGAAGCGATCCGCGGCATTGAAGTTACTCAGAGCATCTTCGTATCGGAAAGAAGAGATCAATGGCAACTTTAAGAACCATCCTGGTTTAACTTGAAGACATGTCCAGCAGCTGCTGCTTGAACACTTGCACGTCTTCGACCCCAGGGTTGACGGGATCAGTGCACGTCCACTTGGAAGCCTGTCTCAAATCCCAGCCAATCCACCACCACGAAGCCATCGTCGACGGGACACATGATGTCCAGCGGCGGCGTATGCAGGTGAGCACGGGCTTAGGCGGCGGACATAGACACATAAAGTCGTCCTTGTCCTATCGGTGAATATTCGGGGATATTCCTCCCAAACCCTAAACCCAAGAACCTAAATCTTCTCTGCCCTCTTTTTTATTCCAAAAAATGTGGAGCGCTCTAGAAATCCATCTTTGTTCTCGGGATAACGAACGATTCGAGGAATTCGTCAACGTGAGCTAGGCTCGGCCAGTAGTCTGTTCTAATGCGAATCAAGGTAGACC